GTGAGGTCGTTTTGTCAAGTATATGCTGGATATTATTGAACTCTTAGGAAGATTTCTCCTGAATTGGTTAAATCTTGTCCACTTTATTCATTTCCTTTTTTTTTTAAGATTTATTATTTTTTTTTTTTTAGAGAGAGGGGAAGGGAAGGACAAGGAGAGGAAGATAAACATCAGTGTATAGTTGCCTCTTGTGCACTCCCTACTGGGGACCTGGCCTGCAGCCCAGGCATGTGCCCTGGCTGGGAATCAAACCAGTGACCCTTTGGTTCGCAGGCTGGCACTCAATCCACTGAGCCACACCAACCAGAGCTATTCATTTTCTGATTATACTCTACTGTCAGAGTATTTTAGAGGCTTTTAGTTCAGCCTCAGGTAGAATCTGAAATAATGAGGTTTTATAGAATCTGAATTAATAGGGACTTACTGACTGAAAACAAAAGCAAAACTCTCATTTTGAAACTTTTTTTTTCTTTTTCAAATTTTCTGAGGTGACATTGGTAAATAGGGTCATATAAGTTTCAAGTGTACATTTCTATGATACATGATCTGTATATTGCATTGTGTGCCCAGCACTTAGAATCACCATATATTTACCCTTTACTACCTCCCCACTCACTTCCTTCTGGTAACCACCATACTGCTGTCTGTCTCTGAGTCACTTTGAAACTTTTCTGATAACAAAGGAAGTGCAGACACAATTGCCCCATTTGCACGTGAAGATCCTGGCTTATCAAATAGCAGAGCTGAGTATCAGACTAGGTCCTCTGGTTCCAGATGGTTCCTTCACTGTATTACATTAGAAATCCATAGCCCTTAACTGGGATCACTCCAATCTGAAGATCTTTTCTTTAATACAGTGTTTTTTACCCGGTTACATTGGTTTGAATTAAAATTGTCAAATCACCATCATTCATTCCCATACATTTATCAAACATTTACTTTGCCAGGCACTGTGCTTGTGGCTCTAGGAGGTATCTAACTAGAGTAAATTTAGTGAATAATTAATACTCTGTGGTGCTGTGGCAAGTGTGGCTCAGTTGGTTAGATTGTCATCCTGCAAAGCAAAGAGCTGCCAGTTCAACTCCCTGTTGGGGCACATGCCCCGGTCTCGGTGCATTTGAGGCAACCAATTAATATTTCTCTCTCCCTTTCTTTCTCCATCCCTTCCCCTCTCTCTAAAATAGATAGATAGACAGACAGGTAGATAAAATCTTTTTTTTTTTTTAAGAATGTTTCTTTTTTTTATTTTTCTAAAGTTTTTTTTAAGATTTTATTTATTTATTTTTAGAGAGGGAAGGGGGAGGGGAGAGAGAAACAAACATCAGTGTGCGGTTGCTGGGGGCCATAGCCTGCAACCCAGGCATGTGCCCTGACTGGGAATCGAACCTGCAATGCTTTGGTTCGCAGCCTGCGCTCAATCCACTGAGCTACGCCAGCCAGGGAGTAGATAAAATCTTAACCCTGATCATTTTTTTTTTCTTTTCGTTTAAGTTTGGGACAACAGCTACTTAAAAATTTTTTCCTAAAATAATTATGTAACATTTCTAGTTCTGAAAAAACACCACTGAAGAACATCTCGTTCTTTTAGGATACTGATGTTCCCCAGTGTAGTTGGCTAAATTTAATCATATTGAATTGTGTAGTTCTGAGTACTCCTGGGTGTCAGACCCATCAACCCACACACATTTATGGGGTGCTCTTGAGGTGCCTGGCCCCATGTTGAGTAAAGCACCTGGAAGCTGGGTCCAGGTTGAGGAGACAGACACGTGAACAGATCACTGAGGTTCTGTCTGTTAAACACATTGGCTTGGGAATTGGGAAGCTTTGCTTCTGACTGGCCAGTGACCTAACTACTCTGAGCCAGGGTACGCTAATGATGGTGTCGGGTGCTTGCCTCAAAGGTGTGCCGTAAAGATTAAATGAAATAATTCACATAATGGGTTGAGCAGAATAACATAGTTTGTTATCCATAGTGATAGTAAATAGAATAGGTACCTCCTGATTTTACCACTTTTGAGGAAAATCTGACTTGGCCTGGCTCAAACTAGGTATACCTCGTTCTGGATTTCCTCATACACAGATCTGATGTCTCATCTACTATGCCTTCAAGGAACGGTGCTCATTCCAAAAGGGAGACTGTGACTCATTCACTCAGCAAAGTAACCAAGTGCCTGCTGATGGCAAAGCTCTGTGGGGAATATGAAGAAACAGTACACTCCAGTGCACCCCATGAGAAACCCTACAGTGGAGGAGGGATGCGAGTAAAACAGGCTCAGAGAGAAAATAATGTCTGAAGTCACAAAGCGGCAGAACTGATTTGAAACCAAAGCCATCAAGTTCTTCTGTGCTGTGCTAGTTTTTAAGGACAAAGTCCTAAGTCAAAAGTTAAGGGACATTATGATAAAACAGCGATACAAGGGGTGACGAAAAGCAGCCTCTTGGAGGCCCATTAGGCTTGTGCCGGGGCAGTTCAAATATTACTTCACCCTTTCTTATGGAACGTGGTAAGCTTTAAGAGAAAGCATTCAAGCTTAAAGTAAAACAAACAAAAAGACCTTTTGATTCAGAAATAGTGGAAGAAAATGTGAAAAAGAAGGCCCAGCTGGCCCAGCAGTCCCTGCTCAAATATGAAGGGCACAAGACTCTCTTGCTGTCTCAATCCTAGCCCTTGCTGTCCTACCCCCCCCCCCCCCAATATGTGCCCTGGGCATCAGCCACACTGAACTTGGCACAGTGAATTTGTCCGTGTGTCCTCTCTGCTCTCTCTGCATCCTCCCCGGCAGCCCAGCCTTCACACACTCTGTACACACCTCGGGAGCTTCATTTCTGTGTATTCCAAGTTCCAATCAACTTACTCGGATTTCTTCCCACCCCAGCCTTCTGTGAGTGTGATGTAGACATTCTTGGAATGCAGGCCCCATCTCTGCCACATGTGGTCCAGCAGCAGCCTCGAGAGCAGTGCAGACACGCTCAGGCACACCGCAGTTCCTGGCATGTGTGAACAAGCATCTTCCCAGCAGAACAAGATCTCTGCTGGGTCCCCTCTCGCATCATGTCAGCCGTTTATCACTCAAATTTGTAATCTTCGTAACTAGAATGAACATTTCTAGATGCCTCTTGCACACCCTGGTCCAGGAATTCCTAAAAGAGGCAGAGAAGGCAGCTTATGCATATCTGCAGTACACTAGAACCTGAAGGTTTCTTCATGAGATTGAGTTCCCCGGTGCTTCCTGCAGGAGTGTGCGTCTCTTCCGTTCTCTCCCTGCCCGGTTCCTGTGAGGCAGGCCTGGCCACTCTGGGGAGGTAACAGCACGAGGATGTTGGGTCAAGTCACTGGTCCACTTTAGCCTCTAGGCTCTGTGTTCCTCAGGGATCATTAAGCATTGCAAGTCTACCTTAGTCCTGGCACCACATGTGCTACCCTGGACACCTCACATTTAGAAATGTGTTTCATAAGTAGGTGTGAACTTGCTGGTAAGCTCTGTCCCGGATGGACCAGGTGCTGGGTGGTCTGAGATCTCAGCAGACTTTCCCTCACATTCCAAGTGTATCTGACCTCTTCACAGTCCCTAGGGACTGTAGTTAGGGGCATGTATCTGAAGGACAGGCCCTGAGGTTACCGTCTCTCCCAAACTCTGTACTGTATTGCTTTGTGCTTTTGGTAGAGTTATGTCCTGTTTGAGAGCTGGATTTTCAAAACCCTTCATCAGAGAATCATCTGGAATGGAAATGAGGGACACTTATTTAAAGATAGAGATTATTGGCCCCTATCTAGATCCAGATTCTATTTAAATCCTTGAGGGGATCTAGGACCGGATCTCTGAGAAGGTGTCTTATTTAGGAAAATCAGGCAAGTTTGTTGGATCCCCCTGTTAAGAATTCTTGTAATCATCTACATATCTTCCTTAGCTCCTGATCTAGACTCCAGAGCTTCAACTTGGGCTTGCTCTTCTTTGTGACCCTCCGCCACTCCACCCCTGGCCTTGAATGTAGTTGGTACTAGAGTTCTGTTGGTAGAATGCGTAAATGGATGAGTGATTTGCTTTGTACTCACTTCAGAGAACACAGAAATTACAGCATTACCCAATGAATTTGAGGGGAAACAAAAAAACCAAGAGTTAATTTTGTAAAGCTGCATATTGAAGAGTAACCTGTAAGAGTGAAAAGAGTGCTTATGCTGTGTTGGCAAGTCTGAATTTGGCACTGTATGATGACCTGGACAAATCCCCTAACCCCCCTGGGCTAATGCCCTCCTCTGTAAAATGGAATGAAGGTCAGAAGTGGTAAAAGACATTAGTGTATTTTTTAAACTAGAAAGTGGATTCAAGTCAGGAGTGAAGAATGGTCAGGACTGGACAGCGGCACAGAACCAGCCACAATAAGGTCTCTGTGTGGTCAGGTCCAAGTCCGTAGGTCTCTACAGAGACCAGGAAAAAATTTTAGTAGGATGGCAGCTCAGGTGTGCTCAGGGCCTGCTTCCCTTTTATTCTGTCCACTTCCTAAGCTGACCAGGGCCATCAGTCCTCTGAGCCACTGCCCTAATCCTGCCAGACTCATTAGGATGTAGCCAAATTTTGTTGTTGCACAGGTGCTCAATGGACATTCTCCAGGGAAGGCCGCTCATTTCTCCCATGCTGCTCAGGTTGCTTGAGGCTAGGGAGGAGTTGAGGACAGGAGGCTCCAGGGATGGGTGAGCAGGTGGCCTGGGAGTTGACCAAGACTAGTCATGCATGCCTGCACCCACTCAGCAAATATTTGAGTGCCTACCAGGATGAGACTCTACAGCCTAGGTAGAGGCCACGTGGTCAGTCTACTAAGAATTAGAATAAGAGTGAAGTATGTGAGCTGGCTGGAGTTGGCATGTGCAGGCCTGTTCCAATGCCTGGCCTGCTGCAAGGCTGCTGCTCCCTGCAAACTCTGAGCTGACCTGTTACTGTCCCCTTGCCATTCCCGTGTGATACCTACCCTAACCCTGACTGTCCCCTTATGCCTGTTTGTAGGAGTATACACCATGAAGAGCTTTGTTGGGTCCAGGGAGTGGAGAGGGCAGTGGATCAGGGTAAGTGGCATGTATGTGCATCTCCCCAGCAGCAACAGCCCCCTCCCACCTTGGTGGGCTCTGCAAGTTAGTGTGTTACTTCATTGGGTCACCTTAGCAGCCCTGACACCCTCCCTTCTCAGGTGAGAAAAACTGTTGAAGCCATGAAGGTCTCTACCCTGAGCCACTGGCCAGTCAGTGGTGGAGCCAAGACTTGAAGTCAGAGCTTTTCAGGATCAGAGAAAACTGGAACACTGGGGACACTTTTTTTCTCTTCTTTTTTTTTTTTTTAACTTTATTTATTTTTAGAGGAGAAGGGAGGGAGAGAAACATTGATGCGATTAGTTGCCTCTTGTACACACTCTGACCAAGACTAAACCTGCAACCTAGGCATGTGCCCTGAGTGGGAGTTAAAACTGCAAGTTTTCACTTTGCTGTGTGACGTCCAACCAACCGTGCCACATTGGTCAGGACTTTTTTCTTTTACCCTCACCCGAGAACGTTCTTTCACTGCTTTTAGAGAGAGAGGAAGGAGAGAGAGGGACCTAACCACACCAGCCAGGACACATTGGGGAAATTTTTTAAATGTACTCTCTTGTTTGATTTCAAAATTAATACACATAAAAATGTCCGTTTTATAAATGGGGAACCATTACAAAGTATAAGTCACTACCTCTAAACCCCCATCATACCAAAATAATCACTATTAACAGTTTGGTATGTTCTTCTACATTTTTAAAGACATTTACTAATATTTATATTCATTATTGTAACAAATATAATATACATACATAGTATAATACATTTTATAGTATGTATAAAATACTTTATGTATTTTACTTTATACTTTATGTATAATACATATTATACATTTTATAGTTTCCTTTTTTAAAAATATTACAGTAATTTTCCACCCTACCCAGAGAGGGGCCCATACCGTGTTGTGCTTGGTTCCCACGTAACCTAAAGGGAAACTCACAACGCCTGGAGCCCTTGACGTCGAGATCCTGAAGAGATTGAAAAGGAAGAGCAGGCCGCTGCTGAAAAGGCTGTGACCGAGGAGGGACTTCAGGGCGGATGGACTGCTTCAGCCCCTGAGTTCACTGCTGCTCAGTCTGATGTCGCCTCCTGGTCTGACATTGTTGACGCGGGCGCCCTCTGTGCCTGTTCAGCAGTTTTCTGCTAAAGTCTGGTCTGCAGCCCCACTGCGCAGGCACGGAGTGGGCAGCAACAAGCACTGAGTGGTCTTAAGCTGGTCTTCCCCAAACTCTTAACAGAATAGAAATACGGTCAATGGAAAATAAACAGTTCCCCCCGCCAAAAAAAAGTTACTGTAACAGTAATACCTACTTGTCATAAAACATTAAAATAGGGTAAGAATATAAAATTCAAAGTGCCTAGCCCTTATAATCCCAGAAATAATTGTTGACTGTTTAGTGTGTACCTTGCAGACATTTTTTTTGCGTGTGTGTATACACATGCCCATTTATATACTTTGTGTTTACCAATTCAAGCTCATACTACTGCAACCTGACCTTCTTAAAAATACCTTTTATTATATAAATTTACATGTGCATACAAAAATAAACTAATACAGTGAATTCCCATTTACCATCCAGCTCCAGCAACCATCAGCTTTCCTGTTATTGCATTTTTTTCTCTCTATTTTCACTTTTCTCCTGGAGTATTTTAAAGATTATGTTTATTTTTAGAGAGAGGGGAAGGGATGGAGAAAGAGAGGGAGAGAAACATTAGTGTATGGTTGCCTCTTGCATGCACCCCACAGGGGACCTGGCCTGCAACCCAGGCATGTGCTCTGACTGGGAATCAAACTCGCGACCCTTTGGTTCACAGGCCAGCATTCAATTCACTGAGCCACACCAGCCAGGGCACTCCTGGAGTATTCTAAAGCAAATCCCAAACATCTTATCATTCCTTCATTAATTATTTCTAGAAGTGGAAAATTTTTCAAAACATTACGTAATGATACCATTATCATACTCAATATTAACAATAATTCCTAATATCAGCTAATACTCAGGTTAAATCTAATTTTCATCAGTCATCTCACAGATGTCTTTTTACAGTTGGTTTGATTTGGTTCCAGTGAGACCCTCACACTGCCAATGGTTAGTATGTCTCAAGTCTCAGTCTGTAACCTCACATCCCTCCCATGCTGTTTATTTTCTGGAGAACTTGGGTCATTTGTCCTGTAAAAAGTTCCCCATTCTGGATTTGCTGACTGCATCTTCCTGGAGTTGTTTGGCATATGCACCTATGCCCCATTTTTCTGTAAACGGGTAATTCATTTAGAGGCTCGATGAGAGTCCGTGTTTTATTTTTAAGATGAGAATGCGTCAGTGTTGGAGCTCTGTACTTCCAATTGCATCACATCAGAAAGCTATTGTTAAGACTGATCCATGAACCTGACTTTATGGTTGTCTTTCTCATCTGTACAACCATAATCCTTCATTTTAAATTTTTTTGTGTGTGGGAAACATACATACGTGTGTGTGTGTGTGTGTGTGTGTGTGTATTTTATATATATATGTTAATTATACCTCAATAAAAATAATAAAAAAAATTTTTAAAGAAAAATACTTAAATGATCATGTGTGGACATCTGGAATAAAGTATGAATTGAAGGCATAAAAGAAAAAAGAAAAGAAACACATGTGTCCAGTACTTGAGCTAGAATGGCAAAGAAAGGCAGTCATGTGGTCTTCACCAGCAGACTTCGTTCTGTGCATGGAAAGGAGGAAGTTTGGGGTATGGGGAAGTTCTTGGAGCCAAGGCCAGCAAGGCCCTGATGCTGCCGGCAGGCAGCTAGCTGCCCTTCTGGGACATTATGTAAAATGATGTAACTGAGTGAAAAAGTGGCGGGGAGCCGGTTTCCTCTCCCTGCTCAAGTCACTGAACTGCTGTCATAGTGAGGGATATTCGTGAGTCCAGAGTTCTGAGTCGGTGGTGTGTAGGAAGGCTTCTTGGCCTAGAGGACTGTGGATTTTGGTCCTTGCCTCCTCGTACTTTGCAAGCCGGAATCTGCGTGGTCATCTAGCACTCCAGCCTTGTGGCAGAACCATCATCAACTTCAGAGAGAGTGGGTAAGATGACCCTTATGGCACAGTTGCAGAGCTAGAAATTGGCACCTATGAGACCATGTAGCCTAGTGCCTTAGTTTGCAGAAAACTGGCCCAGAGAGATGAAGGGAGGTTCCCAAAACCACCTGTTGACTGGAACCAGCACACCAACCTTTGGCTCTCTGTGCTAGTCGGCTAGCATTTCCTACTTGGAATTTCTAGGGTGGTGAGAGTGGCCAGATCAGGTTCTTCACAGATTCTCAATCTGCACTGAGAATTTCTGAGTATCCTTTGGTATTGGTCTTATCCTCCTTGTTCAACTCCTGGAAGGTTCTTTGAGTCGGAGGAGGTAGCGAACAGTGGTCTCTTTCCTCCAGCGTTTGGTGGCCAGCTGGCCCATTGTAGCACAGTCGTTTGAGTACAAACCGGGCTCAGTGAGTCCCAGTCTCAGCTCCACGTTAGTCACCTCGCTGAGCTGTCTTGAGCCACAGTTTCCTGAAGAGATTGGACCAGTTTTGCCCAAATCTTGGTATAAGTATGCCAAATGGTTTCGGGTAGTATGAGGATAAGAGATTTTCCTTCATTATATTTATATTTGTTTTTCACTTATGGTAAGTCATACTGGTTTTCTATTTTCAGCAGTGTCATAAGCCTCCTTTTTAAAGGCATTGAGGCTGAAAAGCTGACAAATTCAGACAACATAAGGCAGGCGGTAATCTAACTTGGCAGAAGGCAGTGCAAAGATTGCGTTGTAGAAGACATTGGACCAGGCGGCATTTGTGGTCCTTCCTAGCTTCCTAATCTTTCAAAGTGACAGGGTTGTCTTTATATTCTGGCATATACCAGTCACAAATGTTCTGGCCTGAGCAAATTCACCTGCCAATATAGAGGCTATCAAAAGTTAGGGCACAGCCTATGAATGTTCCATTTGATTGAGTGTGTATTTATCACCTGGGGTGGTTATCCTGGGAGAATGTAAAGACAATGAGACCCAGTTTCTATGGAGAGTCATCTGGAGGCTGCTCTGTATTGGTGCAGTTTGTGCAGTAAATTCTGGGCCGTGTTCATTCAAAGTTCCTGAGTCATTGCTCTCTGGATAGTGCCCCACGGCTGTCATCCTTCCTCTGCAGCTCCTGGGAAGTCTACTCAGGGGTTCAGTCATAATTTGAACATCTGGAGCTGAGAAAAAATGGGGGTGTTGGCATGGAGACCAGGGGAACGAGCTGCAGAAATGGGCAGTCAAGGGCTCTCTGCCTTTTAGGATTTTCCTGGGGAGAATCTTCACTCAAGAGTTTGCTGACAGCCGAGGATGGCAAGCAAGGGGCCCTCGGCCTCTGCATCCCCTGAGAACTCCAGCGCCGGGGGACCCAGCGGCAGCAGCAATGGTGCTGGCGAAAGCGGAGGGCAGGACAGCACCTTCGAGTGCAACATCTGCCTGGACACAGCCAAGGATGCCGTCATCAGCCTCTGCGGCCACCTCTTCTGGTCAGTACTCGTGCCAGCGCCCCAGAGGACAAACTGCCAAGCTTGGAAAGCTTATAGCCCTGGACAGCCCTGGAGAAGGTTTCCTACACACTTTGGGTCCTGATACACTCAGGCCCGAAGGCAGGTGGCTTGGGTTCTCATTCCAGCTCTGCTGCTGATGAGCCGAGTAACTTAGGGGCAAATCCTGTCCCCACCCTGGGCTTCGTATTCCCATCTCTAAAGTAATAACACAATTCGTGAGCACTTCCCATGTGCTACTTGCTGTGCTAGCTAAGGCAGTACGGTGGTTCTGAGCGAGGACTGTGGAGCCAGACTGCCTTGCTTTGAGTCCTGTCTCTGCCACTTCCCTCCTGGGTGACCTTGAGCAAGGCACTGACACTCTACCAATCTTTTATAAGATTATTTGTGAGCATTAAATGACTTGAAATATGTAAAAGGCACATAGCACATGGTAAAATATTATGTGTTAGCTATGATGCTAATATTGTTACCATATTTTATGTAGTACATAAGAATGAAGTGGCAGAGTCAGTGGCCATTTCAGCCTCGATGGTTGCAGAACCACCTCTTAGCTCTGAGAATCTGGGTGAATGTTGAGGTCTTTCCGCCCGCCCCTCTCTTGGTTTTGAGCTGGACCTTGAAGGATGAATTGGAGTATTATAAAGGTGAGAATGCCAGGTAAGACAAAGAGAGTATCACCCCAAGACAGGCAATTTTTAGGGACAGGCATTGCACTGTTGAATTCATCTGAGACCCTGAGGCCACTCTATAGCTGGAATAGCACCCTGAATGGGTGCTGCGGACTGAGGAGTGTTCGAATAGTGACGGGAGGGTTTGGCCAGATTATCAAACCCGGATTTAACTGAGCAGGACATAGAGCTACTGGATGTTCTTGAGCAGGGAAGTGGTGTGAAGAAAGGATCATTTAAGCAATATTTAAGGGAATTAAATTGGCCACAGTGAAATGATTAATTAATTGATGAGTGAATAGAGTGAGGTAGAGATTTTTGTTCTGGAGTCTCTTTCCCTAATCATTAAGTTTTATGCATAAACTGTTGTCATCAACCCTCTCCTAGAATTTGGTGATGTCAGGTTATCAATGGAAAGAGCACAGACTCTAAAATGAAGCAGATGCTTCTGGTTGGAGTGGTTGTCTCTGGGCAAATCTACTGTCTTCTCTGTGCCTCAGTTTTTCTTATCTGTAAAATAGAGGTAATTGCACTTTCTCAAAGGTTAGTTTGACCATCTAGTACCATTAACAGATGCAAACCTGTTTAGCCACAGACTGACACACAGTAGTTGCTTTGTAAATGAGAGTAACCATCGTCATTGTTATAATCCTTAATTTTCCCCCAGAAAAGGTTAGCTCCACTTCTGCCCCACAGCCTTTGAGGGAGGTTGCCAGTGGAGACCTTCCACAATTTAGGATGCCCCTGGCTTAGTGTGGAATGGAGTTGCAAGTTTAATGCTGGAGTCAGATGTCTCTTTTGTCCAGAGAGATTGTGTGTCTGGATTGTGGGGCTAAACTGTGGTCCAGGAATTGGGGAAGGAATTATCTTCTGAGTCTGCTCAGCCAGAGGAGGTATGTTATTTGAGGGACAGAATCCACCTTCACATTTTCCACGTCCTGGCATGTGTTAGATCTGCAGTGGACATTTGTTACTTGAATGAATGATTCAAGAGAGGAAGAAAGTTAAAGATATGGAGTCAGAGTGACTTTTCCTTCAATTCTGTAAATGTCATTTTTTTGTACCCACTGCTGGGTGATAGGAAGTACAGTAAACTAGAAGCCAGGGAACTTATTTCCAGTCCTGGTGCTGTAGGCAGTCATGTCATGTTTCTGAGCTTAGTTTTCTCATTTGAAAAATAAGAGATTGGGTAGCAACCTGCATAGTGTTGGAGCAACCTCACTGGGCTGAAGGTAGCCCCTTCTGCTGAGCAGCAGCCTCCCATTCTTCTTGTTACTTAAAGATGTTTTTAACAGTGGACCTGAACTTTGTAGGTACTTACTGCCCGCTGAGTTCTCCAGGCTGAGGACAGCCTGAAGATCTTGTTGAACTGGATCTAGATCTACACGTTCCTTTTGAGACTGAGGAGGCTATGAAGCCACTGAAATTGAGTCCAAAATATTAACGTGTGTGCATGCGTGCATGGATGAGAGCATGAGAATGTCCCCATGAGTTTTTCTGCCAGAGGGTCCTTAGCATTTATTTATTGGATTCCCTTAGAGGCCCAAACCCCTCAGAGTTAGACTCGTAGAGAAGTTAGGTGGCACGATCTGGTACGCAGGGGTCTTCACAAATGGGGGGCCCCAGTGGTGGAGATTGGTGTCTTGGTTCCATTGCTTCATTTTTCCTCTGTTTTTAGCACAGTCTTTTTTTTTTTTTTTTTTTTTAAGATTTTATGTATTTATTTTTAGAGAAAGAGAGGAGGGCGGAAAACAGATGTGAGAGAGAAACATCTATCAGTTGTCTCTTGTATGCACCTTGACTGGGGACTGAACCTGCAACCCTGGCATGTGCCCTGACTGGGAATCCGGTGACCCTTCACTTTGCGGGAGGACGCCCATCCACCTGGACTACACCTTCAGGGCTGTAGCCCAGTCTTTTCTCATTTTTGGCACCAGCGATCCCCGCTAAGCGGGGTGGCAGTGCTCCACAGTTCCACCCGGCTTTCCCATGTTTCCCATTTGTCTGCCCCTGCATCTGTGTTTCTGCTAATGAAAGCATTTTTTTTTTTCCTTTCCCCCTTTTCTCTTTTCTCCTTGATGCCTGGTTGCTCTGGGGACTCTGACAGTTGGCCGTGTTTACATCAGGTAAGATGCATTTCATTTTACCTTGTCTTTCATCAGCTGTGGTTGCACAAGACACCCCTAGTCTCAGGAGACTGCTGTCAGAAACTGCAATCTCCCCTGCTTGTGGGCTCATTTGCTCGCCTCCTCCCCAACCCCCATTACATACCCGCCCACTGACAGGCACTTGATGAAACGAGGGGTCAGTGTGGTGCACAGGATGGTCCCGACTCTGCTACGGGTGGCCTTTGTGCCCTTCTCGGGCCATTACCTCTCTAGGTCTCAGTCCCTCACTTGTAAATTGGGTTGGATTTGATAGTATGCTAGTTTTTCATTTTTGAGATTGTGCCTCCTGTCATAATCAACAATTCCCCCTACCCTTGAAAATGTTAGGAAGGAGGAAATTTGTTAGGTCTCAACAAAGAGCTTTTGTGAGAGGAAAAAAGTCTGTTTTCCCAGCATTAGATTATGATGAAAACCAGTTAGTAAGTATTCACCAAGACCCAGGTGCCTGCTTGGTGAGACAGACCAGGGCTGGCGGCCACAACTGGCCATGAGTAATCTCCTCGAGCTGGCTGTCTCCATGGTTGTTGGCAGCAGAGCCCCACACTAGTAGGTGGCTTGGGAGTGTGAGGGGAGGACAGAAGTTCCAGACCGCTGGAACCTCAGAATCTGGGTAGGAGAAAGTGGGGAAGATGAGAGGGGTTCCTGCTCAGTTCAGGGCTATGCATTCTGATCCCAGTAGAACCTGGTGAAACGTGTCTGTCATAAATTTATGAAAAGCACAATATACATAAGTTTTGGGGCTTTTGACAATAAGATAAAGGAAACAAGATATAAAATCATTGAACACTACCTTCTGGGCACTGAAGTCCTAGATTCGCACTTCTATAATGCACTTTATATCATTACATCTAAAACTATAATGTATATTCTAAGATAAATGTTGAGAATATACATATTAAATTACTTAATGTCTACAAAAACACTACAGGTAACATGTTTTTATCTTTTTATTTGTTTTTCAGAAAAGTAAATAGGCGCACTCCTGAGCCTTTCCCGTCTCCCTCTTGTTCCCCCGGGCTCGTTACCTTGGCCGTTCCCGCTCCTGAGCTCCGAGGGCCCTTCTTTTGTTTCTGTAGCTTGTTTCCTGGGTCTATGCAGCCCAGCTGGCTCACTTCTTCTATTTTTGTTAACTTTCTAACTAAACTTTCTCTTATAATTTGAAAAAAAAAGAAAGAAAGTTAAATAAACAAAATGTTTTTAATGGAACCAGCGAAAGGGCCTGGGAAATCTAAAACAGGATTCTGGTGTTCTTCATATTGAAGGAAATAGCTGAATGCAAAAATGCGTGAAAATACTTTAAAAAAAACCACTAAGCAAATTTAGATAATGAGCAGAATCTGTCCTTTAGCACATAGTAGCAAATCACCAGAAAATGATCAGCTTATATCCAGAAGCTGATGTGTGGAATTCAAAGTTGTTGAGGAAATGCTGTAAAGATGAGAAATCACAGAAAGAAATATTTGACTGCCAGGGTAATACAGTGGGTCCCTCAAGGGGGTGGAGATACAAATTTTGTTGCACCCACACCTGCAGCCTAAACTGAGGCTGTGTCCGTCAGACACCTTGACATAGCTCCAGGCTCATTCCCTCCTGCTGTGTTGCTGGAGCCCCTAGAGAGAACAAAGCATGAAGAAGCTTATTTAATTATGATGGTATTTAAAGGCCATTTTGGTTTCACCACTAGTAAATATTTATTGAGTGGCAGGAGCAGGAATCAAAGTCAAGTTCTTGGAGGTGTTCCCTGTTGGTGCTGGTGTTTCCAGTTTGAGGCCTCTGGTCCATGTTTTTCTCCTAGCTCTGACAGCGCTCTGTGGTGGGCTTGTACCATTAATGCACTTTTCTCTCCTGCTTGCAGTGGTTGGAGACCAGACCTAACAGACAGGTGTGTCCAGTTTGCAAAGCCGGGATCAGTCGAGACAAAGTCATCCCGCTCTATGGCAGGGGCAGCACTGGGCAGCAGGACCCCAGGTGAGGCCTTGGGGCACCTCGCACACCCACACTTCCCCTTTGGACGTGAATTCACTTCCATTCTGCACCAGCTCAGCCCACCCTTTACTCAGTGCTTGCCGATCCTCAGTTCTGAGGCGGGTTGTGATCCAGATGGGAGTGAGCCAGGAGAGGACGGGAGCCAGGCTGCCATTTGCTGAGCTGTAATGCAGATGTCCACAGAGTGTCTGCCAGGGCAGGCAGTGTGCTCGGCACACAAGACATCACAATCGCAAGTGTGCAAAGTGCTGTACAGGAGCATCCTGCAAAGCAGGGTGTCCAGCAGGAGTCTGCAGGGAAGTAGGTTGCTGGAGCAGTGATGTATAAAATATGGGGGGAGGGTACGGGGGTCTGGGAGGCTTAAAGAGTGGAGATTTCTGGGAATGGAGGTATGGGTGGGTCTGGCATTCTCCAGACACAAGTACTGAGAGCCCTTTGTGATGTGGGGCGTGCACGAGTGTGAACACACCCACACCCAAACTCCCCCGCAGTGTCTCTTACCTTCTCCCACCCACCCCAGCATGCCCTGTGCCCAGATGCATTGGACTTCTCTCAAAGGTTCTCACCCTTTCACATTCATGAGCCTTTGTATTTAGATCTTTGTTTTTTAAGTTTTTATTTATTTATTTTTGGAGAGAGGGGAAGGCGGGGAAAGAGGAATGTGTGAAACATCAATCAGCTGCCTATTTGCTGCCTCTTGCATGCCCCCTAATGGGGACCTGATGTGCAACCTAGGCATGTGCCCTGACTGGGCATCAAACTGGTGACCCTTTGGTTTACAGGCCAGTACTCAATCCACTGAGCCACACCAGCCAGGGCAGCCTTTGTATTTGTTTTTCCTTTACCTCTTCTGCCCCCTCTGCCAGTTCTGTTCAACCCTCCTCAAACTCCTGCCCATCTTTCATGGGTAGCCCTAAAGTTACCTCCTCCTTGAAATGGCCCCTGTTTTCCACATTAGTTGCTCTTGCCCATGCTCCCACCCCTTTTAGTTCACACCTCTGTTAAGTCCCTTACCATGCTGTATTGGGATTGGTTGTAGTCCCCTTTAAACCATGAACACCTCAAGAGTAGGGTTTGTCCTCAGTCTTAGTATTGGTAACCTGCCTTGAGCTTGATGGGTAACAAGTCCTCAGTCCAGTATTTGTGGAATGAGTGGTGGAAGAGGCTAGGACCCAGAGGTAAAAAGCGTAAAGTACTTGCCCAAGAGTAGTGGGAGGAAAAGCTGAAGTAAATAGGGGCAGATCAGAGAGACCATGAATCTCAGCCTTCTCTGCTGACAGATTGCCCTCTGTTTCAGTTTGGATTTGGGACTTTTTATTCCTATGACCCCTCTATCACATGGCCCAGGGATAGTTGTCTGGCTGGCTACTTCACTGATCTGGCTCAGGCTCTCCGAGAGGAGTAGGCTGAGTGCAATCTGCTGAGAATCTTACAAACAAGCTGATTTTTCTCCTTAATTTTCCATAGGTAGGGAAAAACAATTGCAAGTAAAACAAAGAGTTATTCAGTATTTGGTTTATTTTGGCATAGGTCTGTTCATGTACTGGGCAGGAAAAGGGGCATGGCCCTGGTGAGAACTCGGAGCAGCTCAGAACATTTTCACTGTTTCCTTTTCAGAGAGAAGACGCCTCCCCGTCCTCAAGGTCAGAGGCCAGAGCCGGAGAACAGAGGGGTGAGGAAAAAAAACTCTAGGAGAAGCTTCTTGCAATGAGCCCATAGCTTTAAAAGTTTCTCTCTTGGCCCTGTACTTTTTCCTTCTTGATTATAAAAACTAAAGGAAAACTTGTAAAATACAGAAAGGAAAGGGAGGGAAACCAGTTATAATCACACCATCCAGAGATGTCCACTGGAAACATTTTGGTCTATTTTATTTTTATTTTTCTATAATTATATATACATATAAGTTTTATAGCTCTTTTTATGTTTGTATATTTTATTTATAGATGTGCACATATACTTTTTTTTAATATTTGCCTCCTGTTTTGTAACCCCCTTTTAAAATTTCATTTATTCTATATTAAGTGTCTTCTGTGTGCAGAACATCATTCTAGGCATAGATAACACATCCGTGCACACAGCAAAGGTCTTGCCCTTACAGAGTTTACATTCCTAGAGCGGGGGGACTTTCAGTGACATGGCTTCCAATTGTACACATCAGTAATAGTTTATGTAGAGTGTCCCCGTGCTTGGACTTCACATAATTTATTTAATCTGTTGTTGGACATTCAGATGTTTCCTTTTTTTTTTTTCCTATTTTAAAAATACTCTGATGAACTTACAGATTTTTGAGCAGGTTTGTGATTATTTTACTAGTATAAATTCTTAGAGGTAGAATTACTGGCTCAAAAATTTTGCACATTTAAATCAAGTGGTAGTCTTTTTTTTTTTTAATTTCTTGTCAAAATATTTTTTTAAATTTTAAAAGCAAAATATTTATCCACACTACCAGAATCTCACAAGTATATTTTCATTTTCCCATCTTTTTTTCATCTGTATGCCTTGTATGTGTGTATATATCTTATGTAGTCGTCGTCATTCTCTTCACTGCTTTAAATTTTAATTTTGATATACTTTCCATGATGCTCTGTAGTGTCCTCTTTATTATTATTATTATTATTATTATTAAAGATTTTATTTGTTTTTAGAGAGAGGGGAGGGGATGGAGAAAGAAGGAGAGAAGCATCTATGTGTGAGAGAAACATCAATCAGTGGCCTCTTACATGTACCCCAACTGGGGACCTGGACCCTGACAGGGATTGAACCTGCAACCTTTTGGTGTACGGGATGACGCTCCAACCAACTGAGCCTCCCGGTCAGGGCACTCTTTATTATTTTTAAAAGGTACTATTTATTCCATTGAATATTGATGCATTTTAATTTAGGTTTTCACATTAAAGGACCTTTTAATATCTTCCAGATTTTGTTACAGTGACCATCTTGGCACATTTTTTTTTTTTTTCCTATTTGAACTATAGCATTTTCTTAGGATTCCCAGGGGGTGGATTATTGAGTCAGGGGTCTTGATATAAGTTGAGAGTCTCTTCTCCAGATTACCCTCAATAGTAACAGCAACAAACACTTGTTGAATGATTATTATATTCAAACAACTATATGTAAAGGACTTTATATACACAATCTCATTTAAGCTTCACATCAACCCATTTAACAGAAGAACAAAGTGAGGCCCCGTAGGTGAAGTGACTTCTCCAGGGTCTCACAGACAAGGGCTGGAATCCAGATGGGGCTGTTGTGGAAGTCTCTGTTCTTGACTGCTGGGCAACACCATCGCAGGCTGTAACCTTTGCGGGCTCTGCTGTAACCTTCGAAGGCTCTGCTTCCCAACAGAGTATTAGCTGCTGACCCAGGAATCAGAGGCCCTGGCCTTGGTGACTGCCATGTACACCTCTAGCATTTACAAGCACCTGCAGCCACCAGTGGTCCTTTTTGTCTCTGCCATCCTAGGAAAATAAACCCACCAGACGTGAGGACTTGTGAGACTGTACAGGTGTTAGAGGGGGTCCAGGAGTTAGCCCTGGGGAATGCACTGAGTGAAGTGGTGGCTCCTGATGAAGCAGTCAATACCTATCTTGGCAAGGCAGCCTTGGTTCTAGGAGCCTCGGGCTCTCACCCATACTAGGTCTAAATAGGAGGCATTTCTGCACTGAGGAAACAGGTTGTTTTCCTTCCATGTAGGTTTCCCTCTTATTAAATTGCCTGCTAAACTTTATAGGTAGTGCCACCTAGCAGGCAATTTGAAACTGGATATGCCAGGCTGCTCAGTATGGGATAGGGAGCAGTCACTTGCACGATTTATGAGAGACTCACAAATGAAAGTGCTTTGTGGATAGCGTTTGGCCCGCTTGTTTTCTTCTTTTTGTTATTTTTGTAATCATTTGTTCCAAAGATGTACCCAGGGATGCAGGAAAGGAGAGAAATTTTTTTGTGCAACGTGCATAGTAATGGAGAGCATGGGCTTTCTGATCATACTGACTTAGTTTTAAATCTGAACTCGTTACTACCTTCAAGTTATTTTACCTCTCCGAGCCTCAGTTTGGTCACTTGTAAAACGTAGGTGATGCTACTGTAAGAATTCAATGTGATTTATGTCTCCTAGTGCCTAACATGCTGCCTGGCACAGAGTTAGCACTTAGGAAAATGGGAGTTACTTATTCACGATGTTCTGACTCCTTTTGAGTCTTGTCATGTGAAAGATGATGCCGTGTAGGACCTGAATGGGGCAGAGCTCAGGCTGACACACCGCACGGCTGACAGTGGCTGTTAGAGGGGAGGAGCTGTGAAATGGAAGATGGACAAAGAGACCATGACTTCCTGTCAGTTCCTATAATGTGTGAATTTCTTTTAACAAGCATATATTACTTTTATATCAGAATATTTGAACTTCTCTCACTTATCAGAAAGTTTGAACTTCTTGATGTCAGTAGAAAATTTTCAGAGAAAATACTTAGCCATATCTTGTCCACATATTGTCATTTACTTGTGACCATGGTTCCCAACCAGTTTCATCTGATAACGCGGTCGCAGAGTTTTGCTGTGTTGCTGCATGGTCAGTGTAACGGTCCTTTGAGAGCACGTGTCAAGATTTTTATCATGACCTCCATTGTGTTGCTATTACCAATCATGTGTAGCTTGTACTGACGTTCCCTTGTAATTGGGTATAAGAGTTATCACCAGTTTTGCTGTTGTAAGCATGTGGGAAATTTCACTGGCTAGCATAGGACTCTGGGAAAGAACCTGGAGCTTCAAGGACCCTGACTTGCTTCAGCAGAGTGTTTGACTTTGGGTCAGAGCCAGTTCCTTCTGGTATTCAAATCTCCTTAGCTGGGTCCAGCTAGTCCTTCTGTGGACTAGAAGGGCAGAGGGGCCACCAGGGTTCCTCTGCCTTGGGGTCTAGACAGGAGGAAAAGATGTCCCCCTCAGAAACAGGTGGCAGAGGACAGGGAGGAGAGGTGGGTGCCACCTGTAACTTGACGTATTTAATGGGTTCAGGAGAAACCTGCTTGTTCTGCTTCTTAATGGCATTTCTTCTACACAGGGATTTCAAGGGTTCGGATTTGGAGATGGTGGCTTTCAGATGTCTTTTGGAATTGGGGCATTTCCCTTTGGGATATTTGCCACAGCATTTAACATAAATGATGGGCGGCCTCCTCCAGGTGAGACCTTATTTCTTTGGTAATTCTAATTGAAGGCTTCTCAAGTATCTGGCGATGTATAGGGTACAGATAATTGTTACTACACAGATAATCAGCTTTTTAAAAATGTGCTGAACTCTTTCCAGATTACTGGCAATCGTGCTAATGATACTGCATGCTTGCCAAGTATTAGGCATGTTTAGAATGCTTTCTATTATAAACTCGGGGTCCTCATGATAAGCCTGTGGGACAGATGTGTGATTAGCTCTGTTTTACAAATTAGAAAGTACTTAGTAATGGCTTCCAAGAGATGTCCTGTGCACATAAAATGGAAAGGTATAAACCTTTTCAAAGCCGAAGAAAGGCCTGGTCTTGTACATGTACCCCTCCCTTACTTTGACCTTTAGGGGCTGGAACAAGCAAGGCGACCCGCAAGGAGTCAGGGCCTATCCATTCTCTGGCATCTCTGTCCAGTTTCCCTCAGGACACACATGGGGCTGGTCCCAAACCCCAGCCCTTTGGGACCTCTGTGTAGGTCTGCCACCTGCTGCTACCCTTCTGCCTCCAGTGACCTTGAGAATGCCAGCTGCATTCGGTGTAGAGCAGGGCAGCAGGTGGGTGCTCTGTACTCCATCACAATCTGACACCCAGGCCAGGATCCTTACCATGGAACCTACAGAGCTGCTGAGGCCAGCTGAGCTCTGCTTGCAGTGCTTGCAGCCTCGTGTGTGCTAGGCACAGCAGGGACCAGTGCATAGTTCCTCAGTGCAGTCTAGAAACTTACGCTCTAGGGACAGTAACCCACGCCTGGGCCATCCCAGTTGTCCCTGCGCCCGCCCTGGTGCTTGGCACATAGCAGGCAATCGATAAGTCTTTGTTGACTGGTTGCCTGCATGTGAATCCCTCAGAGTACCTATTTAGGGAATAGTACAGCACCAAGAGATCTTAAGAATACCCTTTCTTACCCCACCTACCTCAAAGGTTTCTCCTCTGTTCATATGTTCTCTATGAGGAAGGAGATCCCAAAGGGTAGGGCCCCGGGAAGGCCTGATAGCTTGCTTCCTTCCAACCAGGTCCAAGGTTTACCTTGGGTTCCCCAGGTGAACGTAGTTCCACAGCCAGGCTGGACTCTGGATGTCTTTACCCCCCTGCCACAATCAGTTTTCTCTTGTCATGTTTGGTACAGCTTGTCCATCAGGGTGTAGATTCTCTTAACTACCCTTCCCCTATAGGCAGGACAGTGAGCTCTGCATAGCAGCTTTTCTCAAAGCAGAGAGGAGGGAGACCCAGTTTCTCAGCCCACTTCTGCCCCTAGTTTGCTGCGGGATGAGAGAAACGGGTCATTCTGCCTGTCTGGGCTCCAGCTCTCTCCTCTGCAGCAGGAGGTGCTACATGAAGCTCTCTCTGAGATCCCTCCTGGTTTGACAGTGCCAGAATCTACAAACTCTATGACTCAGGAGGCAGTGCTTCAGTTTCTTCCTTTTTTTTTTTTTTTTATTTAAATTGAATTTATTAGGGGTGACATTGGTTAATGAACTCACAGACTTCAGGTGTACAGTTGTATAATGCATCATACCTCCTTGTGTGTTCACCACCAACTTCGCTTTCTTCTTACAGAAAATGGGACTAGTACCCACCAAGTGATAAGGTGTGTGCAAAACACTTAGCACACAGGAGATGCTTAACAAACAGTAGCTTTTCTTTCATTATTCCCTTTAAGAGTTCCCTGTCTTATTTGCACCAATAGGCCAAACCCCTTTGGAGATAATGTCCTCGTTGTTATATTATTTCACATGTTTTCGTAATTCCAGTTTTGTTTTGCATGATGTTATTTGGGATTTGGAAATCTTTTCAGTGTGCAGGATTTTGATGTGAGGAGTGGCAGGCTGATGCTTCTCCACTCTGTCCCATATGGGTAGCATGCACAGCTGCAGTGTTCTGACACTTCTCTTCTCCCTCCTGTCTCTCCAGCTGTCCCCGGAACGCCCCAGTACGTGGATGAGCAGTTCCTGTCACGCCTCTTCCTGTTTGTGGCCCTGGTGATCATGTTCTGGCTCCTAATTGCCTAATGCTGGTCTCCTACATCCATGGCAGGGCCTCTGGACTGATGACACACCACCCCACTCTTGATGTTTGGCTTCCTGGATAATCCTGATCCCTGGAATCAGTGGGGTCAGTAACACATCAAGGAATTTTGCTTCTCCATCAGAGCTTTGGGACTCAATACGAGTTGTCAAGAACACTGGAGTATGGCCACTGCCATAAACACTCTGCTATAATCTCAGGCCTTGGCATTGAGTCGTCTCTCATGGGTTACACCATGAAATCCTATTCCAGCCAGCCCAGCAGCTCCTGACTCTGCACAGGGAAGAGGCAGAAGAGAGAAACTGTCAGTACAATTTCACCCAAGTTTAATATTATAAGAAACAAAGGGATGAACCAAATGTTACTTATGGAAGCTTTCTTTCATCTTTTTTAAATACCCCTTGGTAAGTGGCCTCCGAAGTCAGTGGGGGTCCTCATACAGAGAGGTTCCCCTTCCAGATCCCAATGCTGCTCTGTCCTATTCCCTCCTGCCTCTCCTCTCCCTCTTCCTTCTTCTTCTCCTCCTTGGCAGAGATGCAAAAAATTGCCGTCCTATGAAAGATCATAATTGCAGCAGCTGAAGCTAGAATCATATCATGAATTCACCAGAGACCCAATGATCTTTTGTTGGCTCTGGGACATACTCAGTGTCTTTGGCCCCAGAGAGTGGCTTGAATGACCTCCTTGTTTTCTGGCATAGATTATCCCAGGAGACATGTGGCTTCATTCACAGATTTCCCATCAGCTTCCCAAAAAAACACTACACACATGTGCCTCTCTGCCAGAGAGCACACAGCCTAGACTACTGCTGTGCATCAGTAAAGACCTGCAGGTGGGCCGCCAGTGGGATTCAGAGCTCTGGTGCGGGGACAACCGCACAAGCAGCCCTGTGCCCAAGGCTGCAGAAGTTGCACATGCATCCTCCAGACCTGCCTGCTTTGGCTTTGTCAAGTCAGTCCAGCTGCATGTTGAAGACCAGCCTCCTCAGAAGCAAAGTTGTCCTTAATGAAGAGGCAGGGAAGAGAAAAGACCCTCATTTTGGTATGGCTTGATGGACTCCCCCGAGAACTCCTTGTATATGCGCTAAAACCAGGGAAGCATGCCACTCCGGAGCAGGCGTCCCCTGATGATTTGTTAAAACCAGGCAGTGGGCCTCGGGGGGAGCCTCAGCACGGTGATATCATGTGGTCTTTCTTTGGAAGTCAGGCTTCCCCAGCCCTTGATTTGTTTTTCGACTTCACAAGCTTCTTCCTCCAAATCTGATTGAGGGAGTGTGGTACCGGGCAGGAGGATAGTTCACTAGATAGAATGATTCTTGCTCTGCCTGTCTTTCTCTCCCTAGAACTCTAGTCTATTCCAGGAGACCCCAAGGGTGGGAGGAGATGGCCTTCCTCTGGGGGCTCAGCCACATCACCGGTGCACGGGTCCTGGCTTACCTCCAGCAGTAGCCAACAGATCGTAGAAAGCCCCACCTAGTGTTTTTTCCCCAGAGATGGCTCTGCATAGCATGTGGAAACCAAGACCTTACCCAAGATGAGGGAAGCCCTCCACCCCTCTCCACAGCCTTTATCCATCCCCCCTGTACCTGTCAATGCCACAGTGTTAAAAGACAAAATATAAGTATTGAATAGGTGGTTTATTTGCTGAATCCATTTAGTAAGAATAAGCCACCACCTCTATAGTGTGCCTGTTGGATTTTAAACATCTTGGGGACACCCACTCGAGGGCTCTTTTTATCACCCAGAAATTCCTAAAGTGGAAGGTGCCCTGGATTTTCTCAGCTGGAGACTTGGGGAGCAGGGGCAGATTCTTCAGTGCAGTGGCTCCACCTAGTGGTGAGAGAGAGACTTCAGTCACATGAGCCCACCAGAAATGGGTTTCCAGAGGAAAGGTTAGAGAAGGGATGTGGGTGGGGAGATGAATCACTTGGACTCTTGAATGAAAATGGAGCAAGCCCAGGAAAGCTCTGCCAGCAAAGATATCCCAGGAACCTGTTAGCAAGCCCATGTTGGCAACATGCCCTTTGATTCTGAACCTTATAGGACCCCATTCATCCTCCATCAGGAGCTGGGGCAGGAAAGCTGACTTGGGACTGCTGGCCCAGCCCTGGTAGGGAGCCCCCCTTTCCACCACCCCTCATCAGGCTCACTACCTTGCCCCACTGCCGAGGCAGTTTTTCTCTTGTGTGTTTTTCTATGTTCTTAACCTCTACCCCCCACTTCTGCCACCTTTGTGGATCAGGACCAGGTCTGAACCACAGAAAGAAAATGACACCATGTACAGTGGCACACCTTGACCAGTCACTAATTTTCACTGTTGTGAAAGTGATTTGATTAGAATTAAATGGTTTTACATTACTGTGAGCTGTGGACTTCTTGTCTGTGTCACAGGGCAGGGGGGTGGTTGGGGAATAGTCACACTGATCTGGCCTCTGGGAAGCACCTGAGCATCCTTGGGAATGTCACACTGAAGATGAAAGTTTTCCAGCACCGTCAATAATTACAGATGAGAAGTGTGGCTGGAGACCTGGCCTCATACACAGCCCTGCCCAAGGTGTGACCTATCTGACAGGTAGCAGCAGTCCTGACAAGTACATGCAAGCCGTCACAGTGGACCTTAGCTTGTGGCCCAGCAGAGAGCCTTGAGGACAATTGCAGGCTATTCACTATCAGCATTTCTCCACCTGTTTTGTGACAGGGCAGGTGGCCTGCCCTCGTACCCTGCAGAAGCTCCCCAGTAGCAGAGTGCAAAATGGAAGATGGTAAGGCCACAAATCCAGCCCAGCCTTAGGTCCCCTGGCACACCAGCACTACAGGCCATCCTTCTGAACGGGGGGTGGGGGGGGGCTCTTTTCTCCCTCTTACATTTTGACCTAATAGTTATCCAGTTGATTAGTGCCAAGATATAGTAGGAAATGCAAAACTAAGAGAACTCCAGAAACTCAAACCAAATAAGAAAAAAACAGTTTTCTGTTTCCAATGGAAAACAACATACACAGAGGCAGAATAGGACAGTCAAGCTTGCACGGAGCAGTCGCCCAGCCCCAGTAACCATTAACTTCAGTCCAGTCCTGTTTAATTCCCACCTTCTCACTTCTCCCTCTCCCTCACCTGGACTATTCTGAGGCACATTCTAGTCATGTGTCATCTATTATTTATAGATATAGATATAGATATAGATATATCTCAAGAATTTTTTAAAAACCAAAATACCACTTTATGCCCCTTAAAAAATAATTTCTTAATGTCATCAATCACTGTTCAAATGTTCCTAGTTGTCTCATTACTTTTTATGCAGTTTATTTCAGTTGACATCCAAATCAGGTCCATACATTGCTGTTAGATGTCTCAAGTCTATTATTACACCTACATGTTCCTCTTCTGTCTCTTCCTTCCCTTACAGTTCATTATAAAACACAAGTTCGTTTGTCCTGTTGAGTTTCCCACCACTTCAGTTTTGCTATTTACATCACTGGTGTTAACACGCTCCTCTTACTCTTGTATTTCTTGAAAATTTGTTGTTATATCTAGAGACTTGACCAGATTCAGGCTTGATTTTCTTTTTTTTTTTAAAGATTTTATTTATTTATTTTTAGAGAGGGAAGGGAGGGAGATAGAGAGAAACATCAATGTGCAGTTGCTGGGGGTCATGGCCTGCAACCTAGGCATGTACCCTGACTGGGAATCCAACCTGCCACACTTTGGTTTGCAGCCTGCGTTCAATTCACTGAGCTATGCCAGCCAGGGCTAATGATTTTCTTTTTTTTGTAAGACTATGTCATAAGTTCATAAGTGGTAGTATACAATGCCCCCCCCCCCAAAAAAAAACCAATTATCTTCTGGAGGGCAGGCCCCTTGTAGTACAGGTGAGTGTTCTAGGAACCCATCTGTATCATTGTACCAGCTGGCATTGTGAGAGGCTGTGTTAGGCTTCAGTGAATTTTTTTTGAAGACTCTTTCAATGTATTTGCCCATTTCATGATGGGTGATTTACGAGCCCACCTGCCCACACCAGGCTGAGTGTTCAGAAGTTTTGACCAAAAACGGCATGACCCCTATGCCCCACCTTTCTATTCACCCGATCTCACCCTGAGCAACTTTTTTTTTTTAATCCCTGCATGAAAAAAGTCCTCAAAGGGAAATGTTTTGCCAATGTGGAGATGTGGAAGAGGTGAGACAAAAACCAGCAGAAGCACTAAAAGGCATCAAAATCAATGAGTTCAAGAACTATTTTGAGCAGTGGGAAAAAAGTCTCATAGTGCATCAAATGGAGAGCACCTTGAAGGTGACTGAAGTTTTTACAAATAAATTCCAGGTTTTTTTGTGCCCCCACCCCCACCCCCCTGCCATATACTTCTTACTGCATCATATCAGGAAGCACATAATGTCCAGTAGTCCCTCTTTGTGATGAGGGGCTAACTCCTTATTGATCATTGTCTAAAAGAGCATGCATCACTATCCAACAGAATTTTCTGCCATGATGGAGATGTTCTCTGTCTGCACCGTCCAACACAGTAACCACTAGCCACATGCAGCTTTCCGGCACATGAGGTGTGACCAGTGGGCTGAGGAACTGAATGTTTAGTTCTATTTTACTTTATTTTATTTTTTTTTAAAGATTTTATTTATTTTCAGATAGGGAAGGGAGGGAGAGAGAGAGAGAGAGAAACATCAATGTGTGGTTGCTGGGGGTCACGGCCTGCAACCCAGGCATGTACCCTGACTGGGAATCGAACCTGCGACACTGGTTCTCAGCCCACCCTCAATCCACTGAGTTACGCCAGCCAGGCTATTTTACTTTAAATAGGCACATGTGGCTAATGGCTATCGTATTTGTGCAGATTTAGATTAATTCATAGGGGTTGCAAAATGATATGATTGATGATAGCACTGTGTTAAGAGTAGAAACAAGACCGCATTTGGGGGCAGAATGGGGCAACAAAATTACAGAGAATATGGGGATGCCGGTAGTTGTAGGAATGGCAGAGGGGTAACGGGGCAGGATGTGTTCGGAAGAAAAGCTGAGTCCTGAGTGAAGGGAGTAGGGAGAGAAGCCACAGAGTAAGATGCAGTTACTTCCTGGGGGCCTGGTTTGCCTTTATTTTGTAAAAACGGGGAGCTGTTGCAGGTTTTTGAGCAGAGATGTGACAGACACAATTTTGGAAGATTAGTCTATGTTAGGTGGGATGATTCAGGGAGGGGAGAGACTAGAGACCTAACACTGGCTCAGCTGGAAGCAAGTGGAAGGGACACTGGGAAGGCTGGCTAAGAACCAGTAGAGCAGTTTTCTCAGGATGGCAGAGCCTAAACCTTCAAGTGGTTTTCAGGATCCGGGTTCTCATCATTATAGGCCCAGAATGTTGGTCGTGAGTCAGGAGGATCTGGCCTCAAGGACTGACCAAGCCATTGTCAAGTAATCAAACTGGACAGGTGACTTGGGTGCCTCTGCCTTTTCTGCCCTCCAGAAGTCTCCTTTGCATTCACAAGTGATTTTGGAAGGGTCTTTGGGTCCATACTAAAAAGACATATCTTAGTTCTATCATTTGTACAGACTTATGCTCTTCCTTTACATTTAAACTTGCACTTCTCAGAGTTATCTGAACTTCTCTAGAAGGAACCTGGGGGACCTGTTTTTCCACCACTCCTGCTGGTGAAGACCACGAGGTTGCAGGTGGCAAAGAAATGGAATGAGAGGGTGAAAAGGCACAAGAGCGAGACCAAGGTGCCTTGCTGAGGGGCAGAAGGAAAAGGAAGACACTCAGGGGTCTTGATTCCAAAGCTGCCAGGGTCTGGGTGTCAGGGAAAATACAATGTAACCCCTCTCCCCCAAGGTGTGCAAGGTGAATAAAATCCCCACCCCCTTTTTGCTAGTCATAGGTAGCCTGGCAGAAGAGGTCCCTGGACCCCTCTCATTTGAATTCAACACACAATGCTGTGTTCATTGCAGTCATAGCAGAGATTTCCTCAGCAACTGTAAAGCTGACTGCCAAGGGGGGTTCCCAGGAATTAACAGAAATCATCCCTTCACCAGTACCCCAGCACTTTCTGCAGGAGCACGACAGCAGAAGCCACACCTAGAGGAGAAAAATCCGACCTGCATCCAGTTTGGACTGCATGGTCAGGACAGGAAGTAAGAGAATTGCACTTCCCTTAACTCACTCAAGTACTAGGACCAGAGACAGCTGGGTTGAACTTTGTCCTTGATGGCGGCATCATGATCCGTTTCCTCAGGCCCCCTCTCTGTCCATTCTGAGTCATTCAGACACTTTTCCCATGACCTAAATCTAATCTAAGGAAATGACAGTTGCCAAAGGCTAAACTTAAGAGAATCAGATGGGAGGAAACTCAGGGACCAGATGATGCGGCCAACCCTTTGTCACACAGAGGACTCCATCCCCCTCTCAAGCCCAGTGAGTGGAAGCGGTTCTCAAGGCCCCTTAAATCAGCTGGCAGCTGTTCTAGCTCCTTGTCCAGTGATCTTTCCTCCGTAAAGAAGAGCCTGCAGGGCAAATTCAGTCCACAGGTGTGTTTCCTTTGGACTACATGGCATTTTTAGAATTTTTGAATGTTCCCAACATTTTTAAAAAGTGGGAAATTTCACCTAAATATCTAGCTTTTTGGCTTGTCTTGAAGAATTAGATCTGGTGTACTGAGTTCATTACGTACCTATTTGGTCTGGCTAAGGATCTGACCTTGGAATGGTGGTTGCACATACCATCTTTGACCTAGAGATTACCTACTGAGTGTCTGCTTATCCATAGTGGTGCAGAGAAGTGGCTTCTCTGAGCTGGAAGCCTCTGAGAAAAGTCCACCCTTAATCTTCCTTTGCCAAAGCTACTTTGTAGGGTAGACCTTGTTTCTCCATGTTCACATTCTTGATTCTACACTACTGGAAAGAGCTTTTGAAAGTTGGGAGACCTGGGTCGCCATCCCAGCTCAGCTCCTAAAGAGCTGTGCCGTTTTGAAGTAGTTGAACTAGTTCTCTCTGGTCCTCAGCTGTCCTCATCTGTAAAATGGGCTGAGGGTCCTCTGTGTTGAGGGCTCCCGCCTGCGCAGCATCATCCTTATCAGCTCTGGCACCCACGTAGGGTGCTGCTTCCACTAGGGGGCGCCAGGGGCGCCTCAGAGCCCGAACCAAGGGGCGGGGCCTGTCCCGGGGCGGGGCGTCGTGGGGCGGGGCACCGGCGGGCGGGCCCCGGTGCCAGGTGCGGTTTGGTCCTCCCCGGGTGCCGTAGGCAAGTGCATCTTGCTCCCGCCTGGGGCTGAGGTCCTCCCGCGCCTGAGGCGGCTGCGGGAGCGGCCAGTTGGTGCTGCGCCGCTCGTCTCTTCCTCCCCACTTCCGCGCCCCTAGGACCATGG